AAGAAAAGTGAACTATATTTTATTCCAAAATATTTTGTCATAGAAAACCCTTGAATAATGCTTTTCACAAATTATATATAAAACGCTTGTTCAAAGGTAACTTATTAAAGCTTGGCAAGCCATTTCTGTTCACATCAATCACACTTTCTAGGATATCTATGAAGGTCCAGCTAGAAAAGTCAAAAGAAGCTTCACTCTGGCTCAAGTGAAAAAGTTCACTTCAGATAAATTTGTTTACTTGCTAATACATTTTATTTTGCCTTAGTTTTTTAGAGAACACAATATTTTCAGCCCAGCAACTTTTGTTATTGATGATTATTGACTGAACATTGGAACAAATTTTTATGGAAAGTTGTGGGACTCGTGAATTTTAAATTATTTGGTCAATGAGCAAGTAAAAATATACTTTGTCGCGTGGATTTCCTTTCATAATTGGTTTATTGTGTTAATCTCAGTAGCTATTACATGTGGCTATGTAGTTATATTTATTAGGGTATAGTATAGGGTTTATAAAGAAATTCTTAGTGTGCTCAATATATCAATTTTCAGGGATACTTATTAGGTTTGAGCAACTTGGCAAGTTTGGGCATGAGAAAAATCCAATGTGTCAAAAGTTATAAATTGTTAATTTCAATTTTCATATTTCCTCTGATAAACACAAAGTTGGTAGCAAAGTATGAACTCCTTTTTGTTTGAAGCAGCAATTTTGTTAATTTTATTTTTAAGAACATTTTTTGCCCTTCTATACCTTCGTAACTAATTTGTATTTGTAATGAAAAAAATTAATCAGGAAAGCCATAATACATTACATTCCAATGTTAAAAAAATGATTACATCACCAATATAACTATCAATTGAGAAAAAATAAGCTTTGCCAGATTTCTCATTATCGTGTAATAGATTTTAGCTACTCTTAAAATTGGAAAAAAGTACTTCAGGAATTGAGTTGAGCTGAACAGTTGCCTCAAAAATTAAACTCTCCTCCTATTCGAGATGGAAGTAAATTATTTTATGTATCAGGTATATTTTGAAGAATAAGTGAAGAGGAATACAGGAATACAGATTTTTAAAATAATATGCCGAGAAGGGTTACGAAAAATTCAATAAAACCATAATACATTCAATTTTCTCTCATACACTTTACATTAGATCAGGCGCAATCTACTTACTCAAAGAAATATAAATTTTGCTGACCTATGATTTATGAAAGTAATCTTGCTATTATCATTTGATTGCAAAAGGTGTAACCTGTATATTTGTCTGATATTTCTTCAGTGATTGAAAGGAAAGCAAGTAAATTCAGATATGAATATTACTGGAGTTTTTTCCCAACACCAAATCGTGAAACCGTTAGTGGCTGCTATTTCCTGTATTGTACGTTTTTCTTTTGTGAACCTATCATGTGTAAGAGGGAAAGTCAAAAGACGATGCACTAAAAAATTTAACCCAGCACGTTTGTGCTGTCCACAATGATGTGAACTGTCAGGAATATACCTGTACGTGCTTGTTTCTTTTCTAAATAAATCGTATTCTAACCTTCCATATTGGCTCCTCATCACCAAAACGTCAAGAAATGGTAGTTGTCCCCTAATTTCTAACTCATACGTAAATTTTATTGATGGACATCTATTATTTAAAAAGGAAACAAAGTCCTCAATATTCGATTTTTTGGTATCGAATATCGCGAAAATATCATCCACATACCTTAGACAAATCCTAGGAAAATACTTCGACTTTTCTTTGGTTTCCATTTCGAATCTGCTCATGAACAGGTCTGCCAGGTAGGGGGGCAAGGGGTTTCCCATGGCCGTTCCTTCCTGTTGTTCTCTTACTAATTTTCTTCCCTCTAACGCATGATAGGTTCACAAAAGAAAGACGTACAATACAGGAAATAGCAGCCACTAACGGTTTCAGAAACGACTTTCAGAAAGGTCAAAAACCAAGATAAATATATCTCAGTTTCATACCACCAATATACGAAGAACTTTGGAAAGATTTTCAAGGAACTAGGTATGAAGGTGGTTGTTAAAACAAGTCATGCACTACAGAAACTTCTGGGAAGTCCAAAAGATTAAGTTGAGAATTCGGAAAAGTATGGAATTTACGAAACTGAATGTAAAGACTGTGATGCAAAATATTATGGACAGACAAAAATATCTATTGAAGTAAGATATAAGGAACACATAATACACTTAAAATATGGAAGACCTGAAAAATCAGTAGTCGCCCATCATATGTTGCAACAAAACCATTCCATAGATTTCAGTTCATTAAGATTAGTTAAAAAAGTTAACAACAGGCAACTAGATGCCTATGAGAGTGTGGAAATAAGTAAAACACAATAATATTATAAATAACGATGACGGACCTATACCAAATAGCATACTATATAGCTTGTTAAAATAATATTTTTGGGTTTACTGATACTACATAAAGGCACATTGTTCCTCTTGAAGATGATCACTTGGTGATCGAAACACGTGTCGATGTGTTAAAAAAAACTATTTGGTGTTGGGAAAAAACTCCAGTAATATTATTGCACCAAAAGTTTCAAACAGTGCATCATAAGTAAATTTAGATATGTCTATAATCAAATCAATTGTCGACCATTACTTACTACTTCAGATTAATACAATCTTAATTTATATTGTGATTTTTCAAAATACATTGGCGATATTTTCCCAATGGTATATTTGAAATAGAATGTGGTGAATTTGATAGCAAAGTACACATTTATTTTCCTGATATTTTTCTTCACTGAATCATTAACATAATGCATCCATTTTTTAAAAACATTTGCTTAGGTTTCAAGAGAAAATTGTTCACATGGTTTAATACTGAATAGAGTAGATTGTGTTTATTTGAGTGTATAATGTTCAAATTGTAATTAAATACTTTTTGTAATATTAGAAAATATTACCAAGTTTTTATAAGAAAGTTATAATCTCTTCAGTAATTATTGAACTATTAACAAAGTATCAAACAAATATACTGTTTGAAAAATAGACTGGTAGTCAGTTTTGTAAATTATTATGTTATTAGAATTTTTATTTAATGAATTTTATTCTTAGTTTTTTATTTGTTTTGAGTGACTGTAAATAAAATGTTTATGGAAACAGTGTGATCTCTACAGTCAGTTGAATTTCTGGATTAAAGAAGTGTGTAGTACAGTTTTCGTTTAATTCTTCAGAGGTTAATTACGTTACTCCAATTAATTCCATACCCTTGACCATCAGACACTAAGATACAACTGCCGGACTGAGTCATGGCCAGTGAAAAGCCCCTCCCTCAAGATGTGCAGTAGATGTGTAGAAATATGTTATCAGTCTGTTAGATTATTCGTGCCGTAAACATCCAAATTAGGACCGCATTCAGTTAGTGATGGATTTTAAAAGTGAATTGCATAAACATATTTCAAATACCGACCCAAACTTTACTCAGATACAGTTTCTCCCACCGGCCACGACTCAGTATGGTAGCTGTATGTGGGTATCAAATAAAAGAGTTTGCAAAAACACTTGTGAGACTAATCATGATCCCTATGAAATAGAGATGCATTGATAGGATAGAATACAGCTTTATTTTCAGGAATGCAACCACAGTGAACTTACCTCTAAGAGCATCCCACAGTAATCAAAATTAATGAAAATTGTGTCAGGTACAAGTGATTGAATCAATCTAGGAACTTGAAGACAATTATTTGTATGGGTTGAAATATTAAAAGCATTTGTATAAATTAAAATATTAAAATAAAAAAAAGTGGTTTAAAAAGATTTGTGTCTTATTCTCCTTACAGGTTTGCTTCGCAAGANATACTTTATAATCTAGTCCATACTTATTTAATTTCATTAAAAGTAACTCAATGTTGACCGTCTCGAATGCCCTTTTGAAATCTGAATAAGCCTGTAGTATCACAGCTCTTTATATTGTTGGTTAAACATTCTTGGTGCCATATACTTAGGCGAATTATATCCTAGTTTATTTTTTCATTATATTTGAATTTGTTTCGACAAAGACCTTTTTTGACTTGTTCTTACCGGCGAAGGTTTTGCCGATGAGAAAGTTATTGAAGTACTTGAAAATATTGTAGTCGGTTGGCGTGGGGTCTGAGGAGTATGGTGGATGAGACAAAAATTCGACGATCTATTCGTTCAATTTTTGGACGGTGATTTGTGAAACTTGCGGACGGGCGTTGTCATAGAGCAGGATCGGAATTCTCCTGTTACCAGTGACGGCTGCAGTGACGCAATCTTCGGTACATTTCGTCGATTTGCCCACAATAAAACTCTGCTGTGATGGTTTGGCTCAGTTGCAGAAAGTTACAGTGAATCACACCAGCCGCTGACAACCATATAGTAATCATGGTGTTTTTTGGTGAGTTTTCGCCTATGGGTTACAAAATCCTCGTCCTGGATTACTGTAGGTCAACCACTTTGGGGCTCATCTTCGACGCTAAAATCTAAGGAATGATACTTTGCAAAACAACACCATCTTTGGCAAATGCCTGGTTAATTTTTCGGGCTGTTTCGGCAGCGCTTTGGTCCAATTTGAATTCAAAGAGAAAAATTGGCCGAAAATCGCTTACTGATATCATACAGTAATAGGCTGAAAAGAGGCAAAACTTCGATGCTATGGCTTGTTGGATCATTGCAGATGACATCACACTTGTCTCAACATTCCATTTGGATTCCAGGATATCCACTGCGGATGTACATATTCACTGGCAGCTGGAGGTTGCAATCTTAATGAGGATCTAAAAGTAACCAGGTTCAATTCAATGCCACAAAAACCCAGGCATCGGTTTTCTCCATAAAAATAAATGTCTCAACCGGATATATCAATGTCAGGTCAGACAGTTCCGCTTTCTGCTTCGATAAATTTGTAGGGGGTTAAAATGCACACCAATATGTCTTGGCACAATCATGTAGCTGGAATTGCAAAAGCTGCTTCTCAAAAGCTTGGAACAATGTTCCAAACCAGAAAACTGTACACACTTCAGCAACTTTTGATGCTCAGATCACAACTTTTTTGTAGTATTCAGCGGCGGCTCGTCAGAGGAGGCAAGGGAGGCTTAGCCTCCCCATAAAATTTGAGGCTATTCATCGCAATAAATTAAAAGATATTGACAAATAATTATGATTATTTTTTTCTAAAAATGCTTGGGTATCATTACTTCACCATCAATTTTTAATATAAATACATAATATGCCCGAAAAAACACTAT